ATTTTACTTCGTCAAAATGAGAGTTTTTCGAGAGGTTCTGAGGGGACTTGAGATCTCTTCAGTACCTCCCTATGGGCGTATATCTCGTTAGTTCACCCGCGATTCAAAACTGCGTGTCGCTAGTGATAGTTCTCGCTTTGTATGAATTTTTAATCTTTGCAGGCGTATTGCTTCCCGAATTCATTTATAACTGAAAATTGCAGAAAATTTGAACAGATACTAGAAATGTAAATCTTGTAAAAATTTCCAATGTTATGAATACGAAAACGTAACTGCCATATTTCCGATTTCATTTATAAATCTAGAGATTATTTTCACGTGTCTATTCCGGAATTGTATAGAATTATGTAATTTTTTTGTTCGGGTTTCGATAAAGAAATACTTAAATTGATTTTTCTTTATACTACACATAATGCTATTTATTCCGGATTAATATTTTTACTATTAACGGTATACTGTATTCATAAATCAGTGACTGATACTATTTCAATGAATTACGATCGCGTGTATGGCACGTATTCATTGTTTACAGTTTATTGAATGAAAATTTATACGTGACAAAATTATCACCCGGAGTTATTTATTATAATTCGCACGAATTTAAAACAGCGCCAGCGACAGAGATAGCTGAAATTTCACGCGGAATTGCCTTGCATATCTCGATTGAAATCGCAATGCAGGAAACTTTCGCAATTGAGAATGGGAAAGCTCGAAAGACGTAACCCATCATTCTCGCAAGAATAGATATACGTTAACTGCATCTATATTCGTGAAACGACCGAGAGAAACGGCGTAAGCGAGACTCGTCGAGAATTCACCCCATCATCTCGCACAGGACTAAATTCGTCCGATGAAAATCCGATCGGAACAATTTTCGACGTGCCGGCGATTCTCGCAAAGTTCGCGTCGGGCGAATTCCGCTCTGTCAAAAGGAGAGTCCACGCGCTGTCCGGTCTGGTCGCGGCGCGGCGCGTCTCCGAAGTTTCTCGCGGGAAAATCCGAAACTTGACTATTGCAAACTGTGGTAACATTAGCTACGTGGAGATTAAAGTTTGCTTCCGCGTTTCGCATCACGACGTTAAGCTCTCCTTCCTCTGGTCTCGATGGGAGAATCGAATAATTGCGAACGCGGCTCTGCGCGGCAGGCTATGGTGTTCGCACAACTATCGCGATATATGGAACCTCCTACTCTTGATTGCGCTTGAAAAGAAATTTCTCGCTTCGCTGCAAAGACCTCGATGGTACTCAGTATGTAGGACATCCGGTACAGTTGGAAAAGTTTTTAATGCGCTTTAATTCTTCAAAGGAAACGACATTCGTCCGCAATATCAGAACAGATATAAAAACGTTGACCGCAAAATACTTTTTAATTGCATATTACGCTTGATATGTTCCAAGAAGAATTTGTAGCAATTATTCGATAACATTGATGATATAAATCATATACAAGTGAAAATCCCATGTTATTTATTTCAAATTTCCATTTTTTTAATATAAATCAAATAAAAGATTTTTTTGCAAAAACTCATTAATTCTTGAATTTTCCGTACATTTTAAATTATTTTCTGATCTCAGACCTTTCGTATTATTGTCGTGATATTTTAGTGGCTGGAAGCTTTATTTTCAAATGCTTGCGCTTTCTGAGTAACGAGGTACACTGCGAGATGCGTATTGCTGAGTGTAGCATGTGACATTACAACGTTTCGCGGTTGGTCGAGTACGAACAAAAACGTTTCACTCCCAGTGTTACGCAGAAGTTTTAATGAGCGTTTTGTTACGAGATACGGAGAGAACGTATTAATTTGTTTACTCCGATGGACATCAAAGAGTTCAGCCAATGCGAACTCTCTTTTAAACCTTTCATCTTTTGCACAGTAACGATAACAGATGTAAATATTTAATAATTCCAGGTATTCGAGTTTAATCATGTGTCACTAGTTATTCGGAGCTGCGGTCGTTGGCTAATCATAAATCTGTTTCGCCGATAAGGCACATGGACTAGCATCTATAATATCAAGCTCTATAATTAATAAAGTTTTCATTGAAAAATTGGGAAAGCGTTTGTGATTGTGCCGCGCCACGGACGTTCATAGCAATTCGTATTTCTTAGTGTCATAGTTTCTCGTGTATCACGTAAATAATCCGCGCATTCGAAATGAGCTTCGTACTTTTTTGCACGCGAGATGCTAAGATATACCGCACGCAAGATATTCCGTTCTTGGCGGCGCGTTTAAAGAAGATGCCGCGAGGTAGAAAGCATTTCGAAGACATTTCTGTAATTGCTTTCAATGGACTGACATTACGACTGACTCTACTCTCCACCGCTAAGAAACGAAGAAATCCTTTTACTCCGTCTAGATTTAAAAGTCGTATGAAAATCACGCTTTAAAAGTTCTCCGGAACTTGGTCATTGTATATCATGAATTTATTTTACTGATAAGGCCGCATACGGACTGCAGACGTTGACCTACAATTAACGAAGTTTTCATTGGAAAATTGAAAAATGTCTTTGCGACGGTTTGCAGCCGTAGCTGAGAACACTGAAATATTTGATTTTCCTCTCAGATGCTCGAAAGCACGAACCAAGTAGCACGTGCGCGACATCCAATCTGCTATTGCCACTTAGCTTCGCCCTTCTCCGAAAGTTTGGTCTTTCAGCGAATTAATCGCGTCGATTGCGTCCAAGTCATCTCTCGATCAGGTATTCCGAGTGAGCGCTTAACCCTCCGGTCGCTTAAGGGTTCTCTTAAACTTTGCCCTGACGGAAAATTATTTTTACGAACCGTCAAATCCGTGGAACTCGCGACGGCTGGCGTAGCGAACTGCGCGGCGTTTCTCTTTTTGACTATACTTCCGCGAAATTGAATTTCCATCGCTCCGGAGGTACGCGATTTTTACATTTTTCTTCCGGAAAAAAAGATACAAATGTCTGTCTACGAATCCTACGATTTTATGAATATCTTAGTTTCCTCTGCAATATATTTTCCGAGTTTTCTCTGCAATGTAGGGTAAATTTTTTTATGATTTGATAATGGCTTATCATTTAACAGCAGAGTTTTTTTATGATTACGGCTATGATAATGTCGGTAAATATTCAAAGTAAGAATAATCGCGTAATCGCTGTAGCGTGTTAAATACTCTGACATTTACAATGCGATACTAATGTCAGAACTTTCTATTTTAGAGTTATATTATTATATTAATCAGATTATTGTTATCCGAACAAAGTTTATAGATATGTTAAAACGGTACAACACTTTTATGTACCGTACTTTACTGGCGAGAAAAAAAAAACTTTTCATCTAAAGTCATCTATAAAGTTTTATTCCACTTTATGCTCTCTCCCGGTTTATTAGAAAATATATATTTTAAATTGTTGAATAAATTAATATATATTTCAATTTCTCCTAGAAAGGTCTCTTTAAACGAGTCTTTAAAGCTAATTAAGTTATACAGTACTTAATATATAATGTATATACAAATATATTGCTGTTAAATATTCATCGAAAATTTATGTGTTATATTATGTGTTATATGCTTGCTTGTGAAATAATTATGCGTACGTGAAAAATTTGAAAAAATCAATATGTTGTCTCTCTTATATTTCTGTCGTATAAATATCTCAAAGTCGCAACATCAAATTCGATAATTCTATGCATTCTGCAGTAACAAAGACATGCAAAATTACATATTGTGCAGATACAGGTGATACAAACTAAGCATAACAAGTGCAAGCATTTAGCTTCCTTGATATATAAATTTCGCCTTCCGCCCTCGCAGGCTCGTTTCCTCCGACCAATCACTGATAATCAATCTGCGGAAGTACGCGATAGAGGAATTAGCATTATCGTGACGATAACGACCAAAACATACGAGAACCTGTTGCGGCGATAGAAAAGCTACTGTTCACAGGAAGTCCGATTCGTAAAATTATCTGTGAAGTTCCGTGTACCGTAAAAAATTTTTCAAGCTTAAATAAAAAAAAAAAACGCTCGAGGTATCCGCAACAATTCATGACACTAAAAAAATTCTAGCTTTGATACAATTTAATTTTTACAAAAAACTCGCGTTTTCTGCGTACCAACGCCTATTCGCAATAGTTTTAAACCGACGATAAACGAGTTTTTTCCTTTTTGGTATCAAATTGCGCGAAAAAAATAGAAATATTGACTTGACGCGTTTTTTCGACTTTTCATTGATCGAAATAAGATTTAATATCAATTAAGTTCCGATTAGATTGCAGCAACGATTACGCCTTCGTTTCTCATAAATCAAACTTTACATCGCCAGCGTTATCTTTTGGGTTATTTTTACCCGCGAACTCTGTATTTCGCTGATGAATGAATCGATTTTCCCGACACGTCTGGCATCAAATTTCACGATGTTAAATATGACGATGCAATTTGTGGTTTTCACGAAACTAGAAACGTGCAGTATATTCGTCACCACCCCCGATACGCAAAATCGACGAGAGGGCTAATGACACATGAGAGAACGTATTTTTCTTCGAGCACAATTCGGTTTCACTCAAACGGGACCGTCCTCCCCCGGCTCGGCGATGAGATCTCGTTTCTTCACTCACTTCCGGCTTTAGAAACAAACCCCGAAAGTCGTTCTCCCCCGCGCGGTCACGGCACTGAAAGCCGAAACACGCCGAATTTTCATGCCGGTCGCTCACATCACTGCGATATATGCCCGCGGTAATACTCGCGTACTTGCACTCTGCGCGGCATTTACTTTTTTCTTTTCCGATCTTATCTAAAATTTCAAATTTTTCACGTAAATACGTGTTACACATAACGACACATAGGGCGGGGTGTCATAGGAATGTCAGGGGGCAACGAAAAAGAGAGAGGAGAGGGGAGGAAGAGTGGGGAAAGGAGAGACGAGACAAGATTTACTCATGCTGTTTCGTGCTGACGAAATGAAGAGCCAACGTAAAAGGTCGCCGACACTCATCATGCACTGGACAGGACTATCATTTGAGTGTGTATATTCACGATTATCGGCGGTCGTCCTGTTAACGACGGGGTGGTACTGGTGTCTGGGTACATCGTCGCTCACCTGGGGTAGAATCATGACGTGCGGCAGCTGGCGCGCCTCGCCGCGCACTGACTCTCCCGCACGCCCCGAAGAGCGGGCGGCGCGTTCTCCTCGGCGCGCACCACCGGCCGAATCGGTCCCCCCGCCAACCCTCCCAGCATCCACCACTCTTGTATAACTTACCCCGTGTGTCGTTCTCTCTCTCTCTCTCTCTCGCTCTCTCTCGCTCTTTGCCGAGAGAAGAGAAAAAAAACCCTTCGAGGTGAAACGGCGAGATGTCGAGCAAGACGTATGCGGCGGTCGTGGCGTGAAAAGGTGATCATAATTGCCATTGTTTCACATGTTCGCTTATTCAACCGAGTAAAGCGTTATAAAGAAGTTTGATCTTTAAAATTTGGATAGAGAAAAAGGCAAGATATATAAATATGTGTGATATATTCGATTTTTGAGACTTAGAATCACGCAAATCTTAGTTTCTTCGATAAGTTTTTTATACAAAATTTAAAAGGTTAGAATTAGTTTCTCCAATTTACGTTTATATAATTAAAGATAATTAAATAACGCTTTATAATTAAAGATTGAAAATGACAATGATGATTCGATAACGCTGGCGCAAATATAGTTGTTAAGAAGGATGAGCTGTGTCATTCTTATCGCGTTACGTGAAGAATTGCCTACGTGAGAAAAAAACTGAGTAGCGGCGCGAAACGATAAAACGCATAATTTTGAATTCATTGCGCAACCCCAGAGGTGGGCGATTCATCATTTTTTACTAACAATCCTGACATTGAGGGTGAATTACAGTCACAAAGAAGAGAAACATCCGACAGACACGTAACAGACTTTTTCTACTACTTATTGCATTCGCGTACATAGAGTACACGCATTTCTATAAAATTTAATTTTGTACAAGAACATGCAATCATGTTACAATGGAGTAAAAGTTGAGAGCTCAAGTCAGAGATAGAATTAGAAACAGCTCGATAACTCATTCGCATCGGCACCGGTAATCTCGTTGAAGTGCTCGCAAAATGCGTTTTAGAGTGCGCATAAATCCGCGTCTCCAAGGTAAATCGCCGGTACATCACGCCGACCTTTCCCATGCAAAAAGCGAGGATTACCTCAGCTGGATGCGCGGCGTCTACGTGCCAATAGATGGATAGACTCTTGTCGGGCAAAAAAAAAAACTGATGTATGTTCCGCAGTTTCGGTAAGATCGAGACGCGCAAGCTGAGCGATACCTCACGGCGAATCCAAGCGATTTGTCTTGCCAGACGAATTACGAAACGAGACAATAGCTTGATCGAAAGCCGCGTTGCAACCCTCCATTCGATCAAGAAGCTACTTTTTTCGAAGGTATAACCGAAAAATGCCTCATTCGCTCGGCAGAGGGAAAAGTTCGGTTCTATGTCAGACCACACGCTATGAATAGATATTGGGAACATATCCTCTACACAGAAGAGCACCGACGATCGCGAGACATTGATCCGGAACAGGCGAAGGCACATAAATTCGCTTGGAATCACTCGAAAATTTGCATTTCTCATCGTTAAAGTATCTCCACTCTTTTCAATGACTCCTCAATGGCTCAATAAATTAGAAAGAAAATTGCTGCGTTATCTTTAAAAATAACAATATAAAACAAAATAAAAAAAATATTTCACAGCTCACGAAAAATAGAATTATATACATATCGATGTAATAATTTAATAATTTTATAATAAAGTAAACATATCGTTCATATGACAAATGACAGGGTTTAATCCTACGTTTCCGAATTAACGAATAAATACTGTCGCGAGGACCTTCTTTCTTATGCTGTTGACGCGTTTAATAATCAGCAATTAATTTAATGATAAGAAGCCAACTAATAAAGCATCGAATAACAAATCTGGGGGTGCGGCAACCATTTCGCGTCTCGCTTTGTCGAGATGAGTGACAGATCTCATGATAAATCAAGATTGATCGAGATCAAAGAGGAACCATGAAGGTGACTCTATCGACATCGCCGTTTTCAGAAACTCTGAGTGGCAACCCTTGTCCGATCGAGGTATTTCTTCGAGATCTCTACGCCCGTGAATTAACACTCTCCGGCTCTCGAGATGAATGTCGATAGCAGAACTAATGCTCGGGATTAAGAATGAAATTAGTCCGCTCGATAACCCGCGACGTTCGTTCACCGTTACGAATTTCGAATCCACGGTTATGTTATCCTTGCTATTCCGTTCTGTACATACTGCCTCGTATGTAGGTTTATGTACTTTTCTCTATACCGTGCCCCTCATTTCCCCCTCGCTCCTTTCAACCATCCTATTAAATTTTATTATGCTGCAAATCGAACTCGCCGACCCGAGCAATCAGGAAAAATCGATACGCCGAACGAATATGCACTTCGAGATCATCGAATATTCAACTCGCAGCGTCGAAGCTTGATAATCAAATAAGATATGTGTGCAACGCGTTACATTTATAACTTCCATATATTCAATTATAATTAAAATGTTAAAATAAGAATAAAATAATTAATAATATAGTAAAATTATAAGTGGGAAAAAAACTGAAATGGAAAAAGCATATTATTCTTCACGGAACGTTAAATCTGTGCATTTCCGATAATATAAGTGCTGATTAACATTAGCTAATGTCGAAGTACTTTTCACGACAAATTTCTTTCAAATAAATATTTGGAACTATACACTAAAACAAATCTTGAACAAGTTGTCGAACGAACGATTCTTGTTCGAACGTGATTTCGTATCCGGCAAACACAATGAAATATTGTATCGCGGCAGTAGGTAAGGTTAAAGGCTACCCGGCTAGAACGTGTAACGGGAAAAATCAGCGACGAGAAGGAATTCGTCTACCGACTTTCTACGAGCTTTTCCAATCTTCGGGAACCTGGCGCGAGTGTTTTTCCATGTTACAGTTTTCACGCTCCAAATCGTTCCGGCCGCGCGCCATCGCCTTGTACCTTTTGGTCCCGTCAATGAAACTCTCGCATTTCTTTGAATCTTGCCAAATGTACGCGACGTTTCGCATTTTAGCGGAGCAAAACACGATTCTCGAAAGAAACTAAGGTTTACGACAACTCGACGTATCATTCGGAAATGGTTTAAATCCAAAAAAACTATTATCAACATTGTAAATAAAAAAGAAAACAATTTTTTTAATTATTAAAATTAGTGCTCGAAAATTTCAGAAACATTTTGGACAGTTCAGATCTCGAGATCGAACATCGAATAGTTTGAATTTATTAAGCTAAAAGTATGTTCAAACTAATTTTAAGCTGGAAAATTCGAAAAATAATATAATTCGAACATAAAATTTACGAAATGCATAGATAACTTAACCACCAATTCAAAAATATTATTAATTAAAAAATATAAATTCAATCAATTAAAAAATTGAGTAATATTCTTTATAATAAAGAGTAATATATATATATAATTAATATATTACATATTTTTAATTGCATTTTTTTAAATCTTACATGTGCAGAGTATTTTTTAGCATATAAAATACCTATTTTGCTTTTTTGTTTTATTTATGATTGTAGGTTTGTCTTATAAACTTTGGACGACTTAGTATCTTGATAATTAATATTCTTTCGTGATAACAAAATACCAAAATAATCGCATCGATGGATGAATGTAAAAAGCTTTACTTTACAAGCTTTGTACGTGCAATTTTGTGTGCACACAATAAAGATAAATTACACACATTATAGAGTTAAATATTCCCATTAATCTATCTTAGCTCATGAATTCTAAGACAATGAATTTACGAAATCTTATATCTATTTTATGTTTCTGCATTATTTAAAATTTTTTAATCTTTTTAACAGTATCTATAATACAATAGTAGTAATAGTTCGATAACATCTACTGTATTAAATATAGTATTTTTTTTCGTAGATTCATTGCTTCAATTTTCAATAAAATAAAGATAAAATGTAGCACTCACCGATTCGATGCGCAGCAGGGGAGTTGTAAACCATGTCGATCTGTAAAATAACACATTATTATTAGTATTGGTCAAAATAATAAATATTTTAAAAAATAATAATTGCGTGTATTAAACTCTTTTTACAATTTTAGGTAAATATGCATTTTAGGTTACACAGCACCGATTTTGTTGCGCTTTAGATATGCTGTAGGAGAAGTTATTCTGAGTAATTCCCCGCAAAAATTAGGTGGGGGACGGCATTTAAGAGATATAACAAATGAAAATTTCACAATTTTAATGTTCTACTTTAGGTGTTATAAGCTGATATTAAGAGCAGTGGAATTTGTGTACGTCGTTGAAGAATGTAAACAAAGCTACTTTGGTCGTAGATATTTTGTCAACAGTCGCCTTTACTTCTCTTTTATTTCTCGTAGTTCATTATTTTTCCTTACTTCTCATTCTGGTGAAAAATATTTACGGAATACGTGGGCGGTGGAGAGGGGCTCCGCCCACGCGTAAATGTTGTAAACAGATTTTTGATCAAATAATAACCATTTATTACGGCGTACACGATCTTTATTGTGAAACTTCAATTTGTTATATCTCCTAAATCAATGCCGTCCCCCACTTAATTTTTGCGGGAAATTACTCGGGACAACCTCCCCTACAACATATCTAAAGCGCAACAAAAAATCGGCGCTGTGTAACCTAAAATGCATATTTAACCTATTTTATTATATTTGACAGACAAATCACATAATTACCAAAGAAAATTTAATTCTCATATAAATATTTAAAATAGTAAAATATCAAATATGTGAAAAATATTTGCGCCACGAGAATAAACAATTAATATATTTTGTAAATAACAAATAAAAAAATAATAAAATGCTCACTTTATAGTTGCTCCGCCGTTACCCGATGCCCATCCCGAGCCTCCTCCTCCTCTCTCCTCTCAGTATGGAAGCACGATTCACAACTCGCGAAAACTCAATTAATTATTATTAATTAATACGCACGATATTATTATTAATTAATAGCACGATATTTTATACGGCATTCTCAACGCGAACTTTATCATATTAAGACAAAGATAATACTTGGATATCAT